TTTTGAGGCTGCAGCGCCTCTCGCCTTTTCAGTTGCCGCTCCTCTCCTACCCCCTTTTTCCAGGGCGCATGCGCGTCCTCTCGGCGGCCACTGTTTGCCACGAGGAAAAGCGCGGAGAGAACTTCTGCAGGAGCGGCTGTGCCCGGCGAAAGCCATTCTCGGGGCGAGCGGAGGGCAGGAGGTGCCCCTGGTGCTCTGGGAAAAAGAAGGTGCGACGAACAACTAAGGGAGCGCCTCGTTTCCGAGTGTCAGAACTTGAAGGAGGGTAGTACTGTTGAGGAAACAGCAGAGTCTGCCATCCTAATCGGATTGCGGAGACATAGATTTAGAGTCCGTGAAATATAAAGGCTTCCTAAGAGACGCGAAACGATCTCTGGTCCACGAAAGTCTCTGCCATATTTTAAATATGTTAGCTTTTGAAGTGCGAGTGCCACCTGTGACTTTGTACAGTAGTTAAGGGGGCAAAGAAAGGGGCCATCCCTCGCCACGCAATCGGTATCATGATACAGATGAATCAGTGGGTGTGGCAAGAACTTTTGTGGACCGTGGTCCTCTGGTTCACAAAATTGAAGCCAAGTTAAATGTGATAATATGCCTTAAGATTGTGCGTTAATGTGCCTGTGTTTTCTTGCTTGCTGCAAGGTACCAATAGGATTATTGCTGGCCTTGGTTCCTCAGCCCAGGCTTCTCTTTGGACGTAACCCCAATAAATGTCATCCAGATCAGCAAACACAGGTCTGTATATACTTAACTGGGTATAAACCTCTCTGAGCAATGTGGCCCTTATTTCAAAGACATCTTGGCTATAACTGGGTTGCAAAAGCATCTGAGGAAAATGTGTTCTGGGCACATTTATTCATTTTTCAGTTCTTATATCCTGCACAACTCAAAAGGTTCTGGGTAGGTTACAGCATGTCGAACTTGTAAAAGAAACCATAAAATAAAAATATAAAAGCAGTAACAATGAATCAACAGTAATATATCAACCCTTTCCCAAAATATACATCAGTAGGCTTGGCAGAAGTTGCAGTATTCCACTTGTTAGGACTGGAGCCGAGGCTCCATTCTCTAAAGCCAACGGTATAAGTTGCATTACTGTATTATAGTTGTTTTCAAAATGATTTGATTTCAGTTTGTATGTTAAAGTGTTAATATATTCCTATTATCTGGTATTTCAGAAACGCATTTTGCTAGAAATTTTTTTCACATAGAACAGGCCAGTTAATAGGGCTCAGAAGATGCAAAAGTGAAGGACTCATCCAAATCTGTAGGTGATAAAGAAGCTTCTCCCCACCCCACCGCTTCCTTTTGTTTTTCCAAGATTTTTTTTTCTCCAGCTTTTGGAAACAAATGATGCATATTCTGTTGCCTCTCTATTTAGAAAACAGGAAGATTTCAGGTCCTGCATTTCCAAAATTGCCTCCATTCTTCCACAGCACACTTTTCAATCTCCACCTCTCCCACTTTTGTTGTTGTTGGCTTTACCCACATTGGATTTCTGGCATAGGAATTGCAAAGCCTTGGAAGTTTATATAGGGGTTACAGAGGGGTTTCTGAATACAGGCCTCTTCCCAGCTGAAATGTAGGAACTGCAGTCTGTCCTATGGTCCTTCAGATTCCATGATCCTCTGGTCTTGGGATCCTGGCATTAACCGAATGAAAACAGGTATTTTGCCATTTCAGACCTGGAGTTCTAGAAATAAATTTCCATACAATCAAAGATGATACCCTTTTTGAAAGCAGAAGAGATTTTTTTATATCAGTTTGTTCAGTTGGGTATTCAGACACAAGAAATGTTATGGGGCGTTTTTACTATTTGATCCATTGGG